CGAGATGAGCTGGAGGTCCAGGCTGGCCGCGATGCAGACGATGCCTGGCTCGGCGGAGGCGCGAGAGGAGGTCCAGCGGCGGAGCTTCAACTCCAAGTACATGGCGGCGGTGTTCCTCGCCGGTTCCGAGTGAGATGGGGCTGCGATGCAGACGACGCCGGGCGCGGCGGCGGCAATCTCCGGCGAGATCCAGTCGAGGAGGCGAGGTAGGGGCCGGATCCTGTTCCGGGGACGACATGGAGGCGATCTACAAAGGCGCGGGAGGAGGTCCAGCGGCGGGGCTTCAACTCCAACGGGCCCCCTTTCGATGGACGCGGCCGCCCACATCGCCGGCGACTCCCCGGAGGCCGACATGGGCTCCTCCTCCGCGTCCTCGACCGACTCGGCCTCCCGGCGCTCCTTACCACGGAAGGGGATTCACCTGCGGCGGCGCCGGCGACTGTTGTCCGCTCGGAGATGAGAGGGAGGCGAAGGCGACGGCAAGGGCGCTGGTGACGACGTGCAGGACCTCGCACTGCCGCCGGGGATGTCCTTCACGGCGGTTCTTGCCCAGGTGAGCGTCCACTCCTCCCGGTGTTCGTCATGTGTTCTCCCTCCCCCTCTGCGTGTCCTGTTCGCTATTCTCATGTTGCTTTTGTTGCAGTCAGAGGCTCAACATCAGGGGCCGCGTCTACCCGGCGATCCTCCCCATCGACGGCAACAAAGTCCCTGCAAAGATGCATGCAATCCCACGCACACACATCCCATATACTTGGTGTTAATTTCTTAGTTTGTCCACTGCAAGTTAAGATGTGAACAATGGCGAGTGCTGTCAATATGGAACGGTTGAAGTGCAGAACGAGTGACAATCTGTTCATGTCTCTAGGCTGTAGGTTTGGAAGGGGATCACTGATGAGGAGCTCGATGTGCTGGACACATTTGAAGATGAAGAGTATGTGAGGGAAGCTGTTGGCACCTCACTGACCGTAAGTCCATTCGCCGGTCTAGGTCTCTGCTTCAGCTCATGGTAGTCGGATTCATGCCGACCTGCAAAATTCAGAGGAATGTTTAGCTCAAATCAGTTATCTTGACACCCCTTTTCATGATTGAGCCTTCTGCTTTGGGGCACGCAGATAGAACTGCTATCAATTGGTTTTGTTCTATCATGAAAGACCACTTTTCGTTTGGCACTTAGAGAGCAATTCTTCACTAGGCTGTTCCACGGAAAGAAGATTGAGTACTTCGGATTTGCAGGATTCGTCAGATACAATGATTGCCTATGCATGCATATGGGGAATGTGGATGATCCTGACCTCTATAGTGAATGGGATTTTGATGTGAGTATTTCCCTTCATGCTAATCGTAAGCATTTTTCGTATATTGATTGAAAGGCAGACAAACACCACCACTATCTAACTAAGCGCATGCACCAATCTGGTGATGCTATGAGAAGCAAAGTTGTTGCAATATATGTTTATTAAATTACATGTATAATGCTACTGTTTGTTAAACAGTCTCCATTTTCTCAGCTGGCCCAATACTTTTGGTGATCAGAATTTTGGTACGAAGAATAACATCACTAATTTACTTGCTCTAAGAAAAGCACATGCTTGATTTCCTGAATATGTCCCTATGTGCTGCCAAACGGTATATGCTGTTTGGCAATGTCTTATTTTCTTTGGATTCCCGGGGCATATTTCAGTAGTATCCGTTCAAGCACTAACCTGTACTACTATGCTGCTTCTCCATCACTTCTGGCTCGTGAAGGTCAACGGCCCGCCGAGGCGAGGGATCTCGGGTCGCCGTCACTCTTTGGGAGCTCCCTCTCCTTCCTGCCTTCTTACAGTGGTGCCAGGGACCAACGGCCGGACGCCAGCACGACGGAGCTACTGTGCTGCTGCGTTTCCTCAGGTTGTTCGGGCGCGTCGTCGGTCCTAGCCACCCATCATCAAGATCCGACGTCCTCTGTCCTTTTTTCCGATTGATGTGAGTAAGCCTCCACCACCCGCTTCCAACTCTGTAAAATTTGTTGCTGTAGTTGGCACGAGAGGCGCCTTGATGCAAAGCTACAGGTTTGCATGGGTGCTGCTGGCTGCTGCCCCCTTGCCCCCTGGCCAGCAGGGTTGTCCATGATCAGGGCCCCCAAGCAGCCAAGCTAAGGAGTAACATGCCGCAGCTTCTGCCCACCACCATGTATGAGACATGGAAATCTAGGAAGCTGCAGGTTTGTGCGACAGTCATGCTCACGATGTGTTTTCTGAAATGCTTTCATGTAGATTGATGTTTATATATTATAAGCATTTGTAAAATATTCATGTACAATGCAGTATGCAACAATAAATCACATCTCCCAGCAATGGCTACGTACCATTACTCTTATCACCTTAGACTAAGTTGTATGAATTAGATGGCTGAGCACTTATGTTTTTGTAGTAGGTTCTGTGTCCTTCGCGCACATAAAATTCAGAAATAAATTTGGTACATGGCTGATTGACTTTGTTCGTGTGGATTATCAGTTTACCAGCAATGATGGACTTTGTTTACGTGGAGTACCAATTTAGCAGCAACTCTGTTGTAACTTTGGCAACACAACCAACATCAAGTGTCACACTGGTAGTCTAGGGTCAGTTCAAAATTCGAATTAGAGATAGTTTGATCTACGTGTAGTTCATCGTCCATTTCTAAATCACCAAGGATTGATTTTATTGACACAAGTTTCTCTACCTGTTGTTTTCTATTAGGTAAAAATAGTTATTGGCTCCTCTTGTAATCTACAATAAGTATCCCTTTTGACACTCATTTAAATAGAATTTTTTATTATTACTGTGGAAGCAGAAACACACTTGAGAAGGATTTCATTTAGTATGTGCTTTGAGTTTTCATAGTCTATTATTGACATGGATTTTCCTTCTGCTAGAGAGGCTGGTGCCAATCTACATCAAAACAACGGCAAGTTAACAAAAGAGGATGCTGGAGTTGTACTGTGACTACTGTTAGATCTGTTTTTGCACTTCTGAATTTTATTTGAGAATGAATCTCGAAGGTATAACTTCTGCAAAATGCTAGCGCCCACCTAAAGATGACAAGATTTTCTTCTTCTAAATGTAATGAGGCATGAGCCACAAACTCTTCATAGAACTTTGAAGCAAAATATTGATCCCCTGCATGCATATATGATTGCGAACCAATTTTTTTCCAGTCCGTTCGTTTTTAACATAATATTTCTCTGGGTGATGTAACATAAGTATATTATTGATAAAATTAAGTGATATTATTAATACTTGATTTATCTGGGCATAAAAATGTCGAGATAATAGCTCTAGCACTCATGCCCACAATTTGAAAATGGTAGGACTATTCTTTACTTTTACCCATATATAGAAGTGATAACCCCCCTCCCCCTACACATATAGCGAGATAATAGCTCTAGCACTCATGCCCACAATTTGAAAATGGTAGGACTATCCTTTACTTTTACCCATATATAGAAGTGATAACCCCCCTCCCCCTACACATATAGCATTTTTCTCCCGTTGCAACGCACGGCCATTTTTGCTAGTATATATATATATATATAATATATATATAATATATAAATATATAAATAAAAAATATAAATAAATAAATAAATAATAAATAAATAAATAAATAAATATAAATATAATAATAATAATAATAATAATAATAATAATAATAATAAATAAATAAATAAAAATAAAAATAAATAATAAAGAGAATTGGGTTTCTGCCCGTACGTCGTCGCGCGTGATTTTGCATAAAAGCCCCTCGATTTATATGAAATTAACCCGCAATCCCTATTTTATTAAGCTGTATATAAAGTTACATTTTACAGAAAACCCCCTTGTTCATTAGATTTGCATCCGCTGACCTCGTAGTCTTATCCATTTCTCTAGCGATGGCGATGGCGACGGCGACGGCGACGGCGACGGCGACGGGTTTATCTGGCGACGGCGACGCCGCGACGGCGACGGGTTGAGGGCTGCGTAGACGGCGCGGCGAGGAGGGGCATTTGCTGCGGAGACGGCGCGGCGAGGTGGGGCAGTGGCGGTTGTGCGGCGAGGCGGGGCAGGTGCTGCAGAGACGGGGCGCAGCGAGGCGGGGTAGTGGCGTCGCGGGGGAGGATGGAGGATGCCGGAGCAGAGGACGACAGCTCCCGCCATCGCTGCTGTCCGTGCACGCCCCCGTGCTCGCCTCCGTCTGCGCCCGCGCCGGAGCGCTGCTGTCTGCGCGCGTCCGCGTACTCGCCTCCGTCCGCACCCTTCAGCTCGCCTCTGCCAGCCGCGCCCTTCAGCTCGCCTCCGCCCGCGTCCTGCCGCGTCCCAACCGCGTTGGGAGACCGCCTCTGCCTGCCGCGCTTGCCTTTGCTCACGCCCTGCAGCTGGCCTCCACCCTCGTCCTGCCGCGGTGAGCGCGATCCTGCACCTGTGGCCGCGAGCAGGCAAAGCTGTGAGCTGTACGCTTCTGAATCTCTGACGGACTTTTGCTCCCTTGTTTGATTTGAATCTCTGACGGAAATCCTGCTCCCGTGTCCTGCTCAAACTCATGCTCCCGTGTCCTTCTCAAACAAAGAAACCGCCCCGACCCGGATTGGAGTTCACTGCTATAAGTTGAATTGTTCTTGGCCAGAATCGTAAACCAGGCTAGCGCCACCAGTGAGCAGTGCACCGTCGCTTGGGGTATGATATAGATCTTCTTACCTTGCTTCTCCTGTTTCCTGCCGTATAATGTTGCAATTCACCTGCTAACATGTGATCTTGCAATTGCCGTCTATGTAAGATGATTTTTGGTTGTCGCTCTGTTACAGTGTAGTAATATATAATTTGTTCGGTTCGTGTTGCTGTATTGCTACCTCTGATCCCTAATTTGAGCAAAACTGCGACACTTATTTGGGGCTGACTTGATGCATTTGTGAACTTGCTATCCTGCACTGTTTTATGACGACAATTAAATTGTGCTTTGGATGATTTTTTGCTTGATAATGATTTGCCAGTCGTAACACCATGATCACCATCATGTCGCCTTTGAGTACGTCGGAGGAACAGGCACCGAGTTCGCCTTTGAGTACGCCGGAGGAACCGGCACCATGTTCGCCGGAATTCTTGGTCCAGAGAAGCATTGTGAGTCCAACGGTGGCTACAACAGAGGTATGTGATGCCTCGACCTCCCTCAAAAACAGCCCTGCTGTTGCCCCTTCCCTCAAGCCTTTGTGTATTCAGAGATTTATTGTTTGATTTTTTGCATGCACTGTGACTGGACATGATGTTGGCAAATACATTAGAGATTATGCTGCAATCTAGCATATTTCTTCTAGGCCAATTACTTTCTTCTAGATGAGTTAATTCAGAGGTTACTATCAAATAGATGTGTTCTCAGGTTCAGTATTAATTGGGGAGCTGCTTTTGCCACATTAGTTCAGAGTTTTCAGATTTGAATTAGCATGCATCAGGGTAATTCCTAATTAACAAACATTTGCTAATTAATTGGGGAGTTGATGGTTAGGATTGAGGAGTCACTGGTAATTAGCCTGCTTTTAAGTAACAGTTCGCTAAACAGGCAAATGCCTTTGGGATTGTTGCTGGCATAGTAAGATACATCAATAGAATTAAGTGTCCGGAGTCATTTCATATTCAGAATTGCCCTGCCATGCATGCAATAAATAAAAAAGTGATTTGGCCTGGTTTTCATGTCTCTTCTGTGTATGCGCGTGCAGGTGGCAAAGGCGTCCAATCCAACTCAGGTGGAGGCCAAGGAAGTTCGGCTCTCGGACCTTGCACCAATGATGCTGGATGATACCGACGTGCAGACTGTAAGTTTCATATATTCAGACTGGGACCTTTCTTCCTCTTATTTTTTCCTGGCCACTTGATTACCGCACTATCGTTTGTCTTCCCATTTGATTTCTCATATGAAGCTACTAATTTTGAAAATTCCTTTTATTTTACAATACTTTTGCTTATGTTTTCTTATGGAAAGTAAAATAGAGTGAATTAACGATTTGTTTTTCTTTAGATGTTGTCGGTCGGGTGTCCTCTACTACCGAAGTTCCCCCACCATCTGGTGGTGCTTGAGAGCAGAGACGGCATACTTTCATCAGCAGCGGCCAAACCCCCAGCGCCGCTGGTGCTGTACACCCCTGTACCCCTCGATATCCAGTGCCTCGCGTCTGCCCAACATGAACACCTCCTCAATATGTACATCTCTGAATTTTGCCATTGCTAGAGAAAGTAGAGCATTGTTTTGCTGTAGCTATAATTTGAGTTTAGAAGATATACTCCTCTCTTTTTGACGTCAATTTTTCAGTTGACACTTGTGCAGAAGCCCAATGGGATGAAATTACGGACCACAGAGAGGTGTAATTATTAATTAATTTCTTGCTTTAAAAGATATGCAACTAGCAGAGTTTCTTATTATTATCAATTGGATTATGACGAAGTTAAGAACTTATGTGGACAGTCTGGCACATTTCGGTGGCAAGATTTTTGTATAGTTACAGTGGCAGATTTCAGAAATTTGTAGAGCACATGATTAACAAGAAGAAGATATTCTGTCAAGGTGTGTACTTTTTACCCATTGCACTAATCGTTTGCTTTGAGCGATAGCTAAAAGAAAGTACTTCCTTTGGTATAATCTTTCGTGCACTCACACGTATAATATCTCCATTTCCTTATTTTTTGTTCTTCTGTCAGTAGTATTTCTTTTAGCTACTATTTGCCCTTGGATAAATCACTCATGCTATTTTAATGAGGTTCATTCTAGCCGTTTGCTCACGAGAACATAAACATTTTATCTGTTAGCTAAATGAAAGTACATTCTTTGAATTTGCCACTTTTTCCCGCATTCACGGATATAATCTGTCCATTTCCTGGATTTTTTAATCTTCCATTAGTAGTATTTCTTTTAGCTACTTTATGCCATAGCATAAATCGCTCATGCTATTTTAGTAAGATCCACTCCTGCTCTATGCTCACTAGAACGGAAAACAAATATTATCTGCTTATTTTAGCGTCGCATTTCGCTCACGGTATTCATGGTCACAGATAAAACAGTAATAAATTGCCCTTCTCTGTCAAACTTACGGAGTACGAAGTTGTCATGCCTGATCAGCAAAAGATTTGTGCTTCTTTGGCCCATATGTATCACAGTAGAGTATATGATTTTTGCAGTTCTTAATTTAAAATTTTCCTTTTCTGGCATAGCCATGCATATCAACAATCAGTCAAGCAAAGAAATATTCATGGGAGATATACAGGGATCCACAAGAATGTGCACCGTATGGCACTACCCTTTTGTCATCGAGCCACTATCACATTTTGGTCAGCAATCAGTTCAAGCAATTCTCAGCGCAATTAGTCAGAAGTTGGAATTTACATCTGAACGAACAATACATCAAGCAACAGAAGAAATAGTGGTCATCTCTTTTTCTTTGCACCAAGATGCCATATAAGCATTCAGACTTCGGAATCGCACAAGCAGTTTATATATAAATGATGTGCCATATCGTTTTAACACGGACACTTAAAAAGAATATCTGCCAAGAGTGGTCGTTGATCACTATGATTATAGTAGTCCTAAAGAGTTTGCCTCTGCGTTTCTGTTCACATGTAGTTGATGTTTTAGCCTTTTAGAAGTATATGGCGTTGCTTAAATTATGTTTCTTTTGGCAACAACATATGAAATGGAGAAATTTTTAGGTTTAGGATAAAATTGTTCTTGATTTTGAGAAGATTGTTATAGATCCATGAGAAAAATGTCCCAAGTTTAGGAAATTAACTATCCATATTTTCGGATCTTGGTTAATAAGCTGGTCACAATTGTTTTTTTTGTTTTTTAAGCAAGCTGGTCACAATAGTTGATGTGGGTCATAAATCAAATAATTACTCATGTAGTTATGCTTATTAAAGGGTATGGTTTTTTTCTCCCGGTGCAACGCACGGGCATTTTTGCTAGTAATAATAATAGGAATACCTATGATCTTGAAAGTAATATTAAAGAATTTATCAATGCTCAAAAGGTTTTCGATACTACGATAGAGGAAAAGTTGAATAAGATTGATGATATGTCTAGAAGTATTGATAGAATTTCTCATGACTTAGAAAATCTCAAGTTGAATTTTTTTGTTCCTAAGGTTGATTAATCTATTAAAGCTTTATATGTTTCCATGGATGAAAGTAAGAAAAGAACAGCTATGCTTAGAGCTAAAAGAGAATTTTTAGAAAGAGCGTTTTCTAGTGATTGCTTTCATGAAAATGATGAGATATTATAGTGATTGGTGTTTCTTCTGTCGATTCCTTTTTTAATTAGTAAAATTAAAATTGATGATAAAGGGACTGAAGAACAGTCAACTTTAGCTAGAAGGCGTCCTGATAATTCGGAGGGTTAAAATCTTGTTGAGAAAATTGAAAAAGTGGGTCTAGAGAGGTCAAAACTTTAACTAGTGAAGTGCCCATTCTTTTGGATTACAAAGACTTTAATTATGATAATTGCTCTCTGGTTGATTGTATTTCTTTGTTGTAATCCAGGATAAATTCACCTCATGCCTATGAACAAAACAAAGCTTTTACTAAACATATCGTAGATACCATGATGAAAGCTTTAGAAGAAAAGTTGGAATTAGAAGTTTCAATTACTAGAAAATTGCATGATGAATGGGAACCTACTATGAAAGTCAAGGTTAAAAATTATGAATGTTTTCCTTTATGTGATTTGGGTGCTAGTGTTTCCACCATTTCAAAATCTTTATATGTGCTTGGTCTTACCGATATTGAATAATGTTCTTTTAATTTGCACTTGGAGGATTCCACTATTAAAAAGCCTTTGGGAAGAATTAATTATTTTTGTAAATAGGAATTATGTACCCATATATTTTATTGTTCTTAATATTGATTGCAATCCGTCTTGTCCTATCATATTTGGTAGATCGTTTTTACGTACTACCGGTGCCGTGATTGATATGCAAGAAGGAAATATTAAATTCCAATTTCCACTAAGAAAGGGAATGGAACACTTCCCTAGAACAAGAATTAGGCCACCATATGAATCAATCATGCGGGCATCCTATGGATCTAGAACCAAAGATGACAATACTTGTGATCTATGCAATATGCCTAGCTAGGGGCATAAAATGATAGCGCTTGCTGGGAGGCAACCTAATTTGTATCTGTTTGCCTTTTGCTTTTCTTGATGTTTTACAATAAATACATAATCATGCCTCTGGTTAGATGTGTTTTGGTGGTTTAAATTAGTGTTTGTTCCAAGCAAAGTCTTTGGGATGATTTGGGAGATAGTTGATTTGATCTTGTTGGAAAACAGAAACTTTTGTGCTTAGTACAGAAAATTCTAAAAATGACCAAAGCGTGATAAATTTATGATCTTTTTACACAAGATTAATATACAAATTACCTACGTTGTCCTAATTTTTCAGAATTTTTGGAGTTACAGAATTATTCGAAGTTATCAGATTGCTACAACCTATTCTGTTTTTGACAGATTGTGTTTTCGTTGTGTTATGTGCTTGTTTTGATGAATCTATGATTTTTATTGAAGGGTTTAAGCCATGGAAAAGTTAGAATACAGTAGATATAATACAATAACAAAATTGGAATGGGTTTGTAACAATACTTAGAGTAGTGATTTGCTTTCTTATACTAACAGAACTGACGAAGGTTTTGTTGAGTTTTGTGTGATTGAAGTTTTCAAGTTCTGGATGAGATCACGATGGATGAAAAATAAGGAGTAAGAAAGCCTAAGCTTGGGGATGCCCCATGGCACCCCAAGTTATTATCCAAATTGGAACAAGCAACTAAGCTTGGGGATGCCTCGAGTGGCATCCCATGTTTCTTCTAATGACCATCGGTATTTTACTTGGAGCTATATTTTTATTCGTCACATATTATGAGTTTTTCTTGAAGCGTCTTGCATTATACAAGTCCTTGCTTGTTTTGGTTTTTAGTTTGTGTCATCTATCCTTGCTGAACACACTTATTTGAGAAAGCCGAATTATGCTATGTTCGCTCTTTATGCTTCACTTAATTTTTTGAGAGCTATGGAATTGCTCTAGCGCTTCACTTATATGTTTTTGAGCATGGTGTGCTTTAATATTTTTAAAGAAATTCTTTCATGCTTCACTTAGATTATTTTGAGAGATGAAAATTTTGTGCTCATGTTCTTCACTTGGATTTGTTTGAGCCTATCAAAATCAACATATGAAATTATTCCCAAAGTGATAGATATTCAAGAGGGATATAATAAAAACTTTCATGAATATCATTGGTCAAAATAAACTTCATTCTTTCTAATAATTTTGCGATATGATGTTAGTGATATGTGAGTTATGTTGGTGAGTAATTATGCTTTAGTAAGAATATTGGTGTTAAGGTTTGTGATTCCCTATGCAAGCATGAAAGTCAATAGTTATACAATGAAGTTACGTCCTACTTGTGATGCATTATTCGGTGTTAGTTATGCTTAATGGTCGCTTATGTGATTTTTTGTTTCTTGGTTGGATGCTTCTCAATCTTTTTGCTAGCCTTCACTTGTACTAAGTAGAAATACTACTTGTGCATCCAAAATCTTTAAACCCAGTTTTGCCATATGAGTCCACCATACCTACCTATATGCGGTATTTCCGTGTCCTTCTAAGCAAAGCTGTATGTGCCATCTCTAATTTTCAAAATAAACTTCTCTTTTGTGTGCTTGTACCATTCATGAAACGGTAGGGGTGGCTGATATTTTTCCATGCTAGATGTGTTATTCTCAAGATGAGTGTTTATTCACTTGTCATTGCACGAGAGTACGACAAAGGCATTAGGGATGCCCAGTCCTGAAATGAAAAATGAATTTACTTTATGTTATCAAATAATAAATTCCTAGGAAAGTGTTGTTATGGACGGGACCTGTGGATATGACTAGCCGTGGAATGTGAAAGTATGGTGGAAAAAGGAACAAACTTTATTTTCTGTTTGAAAACCGCCTATGATATATCTAGCATAGAATGTATTGGAAACTACTCGATCATTTTCATTGACAGAAAAAGCATGCCACCCAAAATATGTTATCTCTATTTTTTCGCTTTGAGCTCTAGCACCTCTACAAATCCCTACTTCCCTCTGCGAAGGCCTTTCTATTTATATTATGTATTTTTTATTTGAGTCTCCATCTTCTCTTATAAAGCACAAACCAAGGGGCACTATGTCGGTGTTCTGGGAACGGGGGTCCCCAGACTTGCCTGCCTGCGGCGTGACTCAAAGGGGAGCCCAGCACGGCCCATCTTCATCAACACAGACCCAAGACCCTCGCGAGGGGCCAAGCCTCGCGGGGCAGACGACACGGAGCTTCCTTAGGCACGGCCTCACCAGGCTGGCTCG